CGGTCCATTTGATGGAAAGTGATTCCCATTCGTATTTCAACCGTGAAGCAGTTGTGTCTGCATGGCTGTTTCGGTTTGAAGGGTGAGATATGGCGTCAATTTACTGGGTACAGAGGAATAACAGCTGAGACCTCAGGAATGACATCGCATGGGGGGTATCAAGGGGCGAAACAGTATACTCTGTTATGTCCATGGCACTGCTCATATCTATAGGCGACGGTTACCACTTTCCATCAGGTGGACCGTCAGCTTGTTTGCCATTCTAAGTTGTATAAAAAAAGTGGTAACCGTCGCCTACAGACATGAGTTGTACCGTGAACATAACAGAGTTTCTTAATATTAACAGTGTATCCCCTATAATATATTTTTGATAATAAAACTAACATGTTTTATTATCAACAATTAAAACAATTTTAGTTCGTTATTTCAATAATCTTTATCTTGTGACGATGAACTGTGATAACTTTTTAATTCCAATCAATGTGATGGCATCGGCTGTACTCACATACTGCCAACGGCCAGCGATCAATTTAATGGTAGGTTAGTATTTGACAAAATATAGGGTAAGCTTGGGCTATCGTGCCGGAACGGTTTGTTGTCATTTCCCCTAATAACTATCGTAGTAAACTGTGTAGGGTAACCAAATGGTAATTAATACAGGGACATAAAAATTATGTCTAAATTATGGAATATTATAGATATTTCTACATGGTATAATAGAAAGTGGTAACTTATTAGCATACTCTTATTACAGTATTTTATTTATTTATTTTTATTTATTTAACTCTTTATTGCACCATAAACAAAAATATACAATGACAATTGAACAATTCATGTGAAATACAGTAACATAAATACAGATTGAAATATACACATATAGGTAAAAATTTTTGAAAACTTTATAATTATCGAATTCGACTAGTTTGGGGGAAAGGGATTGTTAGTAATGGGTTCTAACAACCTTATTGCTATCAGTATTACTCTATTAGGTCGACCTCCATACGATTTCTCGTAAAAACCATCGTGGTTAATTCTTGTCGAATTCTGTATTCGAATTCGACTGACTTGCCTTCATCCTCATCTAGCATCTATCGCTGGTGCCCTAGCGTAAACCGATAGCACAGATGGTTTTTTTTTTAATGGATGATAATGGAATGGTAACCTCACCCGCGCTATCGGTATACACCGGCGGGGCACCAGTGAAGGATGATAGGTGTAGATGAAGTAGGTCAGTTAGCCCATCGTGACAAATTCAACAAGAATTGTTCACGATGGTTTCTAAGGGGAACCACGTGGAGGTCGAACTAATAAGGCTAGCAATAGCAATGGGGCTGTCAAACTCCATTACTAATAATCCCTTTCCCCCCGCACAGATGGGGTTACCATTCCATTTTCACCCATTAAAAAATCTCGACTAAATTAGCCTTTCCAAATTAAAACTCTGTAAAAAATTAGAAACACCTACTTGTAAACAAGTATAATATGTAAATGACCCTGTATGTTAGTACATTTTAAAAATACAGTAGCAGTCCAGATTTAAAACGATTATGGGGTCACCCTACCCCATGTCATATTTGCTAGTTAAAGTTTACTGTAATTACCTTAAATGTGTTAACTAGATAGGTTATAATGTACCGCGTCACGTATGCTAAGCGATCTCGTGTTGTTCATAGGTTTTTAACCGACTTAAAAAAGGGAGTATATGTACTTGTAGGATTTAAAAAAAAATAAGGTGTTCAAATTCAGACCCCCATATTCAAATTCCATCAGGAATGGCAACGCATGGGGGATATCATGGGCGAAACAGTATACTCTGTTATGTCCATGGTACTGCTCATGTCTATAGGCGACGGTTACCACTTTCCATCAGGTGGGCCATCAGCTTGTTGGCCATTCTAAATTGCATAAAAAAATCCACTTTCCATCAGGTGGACCGTCATCTCGTTTGCTTTTCGAAGTCTTATAAAAAATATGTGGGTAGAACACCTATTCATTCAATTGTTTTTATATAATATCAACTTTTAGCCGCGACTTCGTCCGCGTAATCGGGATATGTTTAATGAACGAGATAAAAGTAACCTTCTCGTATATCCTTCTTTGTCCTATATAGTACGTGTATTTCACGTGTACCCAATTTCAGAGTGATTGGTTAAACCATCAAAGTATTATAATATAGTAAAACAAATAAACTCACTTTTATAATATTAGTAAGGATTTCTTATTGCAAAATATGCAGCTTATTCCTGTGTTGATTTTTTTTTCAGTACGTTTGTTCCGTTATGGAACAGGCTAAGGTCGGAGACCATGCTGCCTAATCTTCAGTATGATAATTTGTCTGGAATTATTCCTGAGCCTTTATCACAATCAGTGTTTTTTAAACCAATTTTTTTGTATTATACAAATTCTACTTAACAAAATGACTATTAATAAATAGAAAGTATTATGAAAAATAAATACACACAGAAAGAGATATTTTACACTACATACGAAATTACGTTATTAAATTTATATTTTTATAATTCTAAATTCCTGTGAAAGGAACGTAGCGTATTCGACATATTTAATTGTGCGCCAAAACTAAAATTCTATTTATAAAAAAAAATGGTTATTCTAAATTCGAATAGTTTTAGTTAATGATAAATGGTATTTAAATTATAGACTGTTTAATTTTTAAACTTTAATTGAAATATTCAAAATAAGAACGAATATTAAAAGTATAAATGAGACTAATTAGTGGCATATTTATATTTTTTAAATAATTATGTATTATAATTCATTTTAGCTATTACAAACATTTCAAAGAACCTTCTAAGGTAAAATTATGTTAAAATACCTCGACCTATAAACCTGTGAAGGATATTGGAAAAGTCCCCGCAAGTTGACTCATTAAATTAAGAGATGTAGTTAGCGTATTGGCCGTGTAAGGCGAGTTATGACTGGATGAGGCAAGAGATTTATATAATAACTAGCTTTTACCCGCGACTTCGTATGCATAGATTTTGGAAGTGCCTACTAATAAGTAACTACATCTATAGCACGTATCAATATATTTTAAAAATGTGATTTTTTGTCTGTTTATAAAGAATAAACTCAAAAGTGTTTAACCGATTCTAAAAATTCTTTCATCTGTCGAAAATTACATTATCACCTAGTAACATAAATTATTTTATTTATTTGTCGTAGATATACCATTTATAGGCACGAAGCGCTTTGCGTTTTCCCTCATCATGCATTCGGCCAAGGAGTGGAACTCTCTCTCTGCTTATGTTTTTCTATCCATATATAATCTACATCAATTTAAGGCAAACGTAAATAGGCTATTTGTGGGCCCGCGAGCCCCATCTTTAACCACATCATTGCTTTCCATCAAGCGACATCGTAATCAATCTCAAGGCCCTTCAATAGTAAAAAATAAATAAAAAAAAAGAAATTTGTAAAAAAAAAAAGTAAGTGTGGACGAGTCACTAGTACTTATCATATAGCATTTAATTTTTAAATATTACAAATCATACAACAGAATTTTTTTATCTCTCCATTACATTCGCGTATTTATCATATTGACGTTGACATTGACTGATAAATAGTGATATTATTGATAGTTAAACAAATGACTGATAATAATGAATGATAAAACATCACCAAAAGAACTTTATTTATATTTCTTTATTTATAAGCGCAAGTATGTGAACAAGGCAGATTTAATGCAGTTGCAAAAATAACTTACTGGCTTAGTTATACCACCATCTTTCTATCATTATCCCATATCGTTTAAACTTTTAAAACTTGCGTATTATATTAAGGATTTTCAGCAATTTCTTTAAGGAGAAATTTCTCAATTCATCTGTATTTTTTATGTTGTGTTGTTATGCGATAAACTTCTCACATTCTTTTCTGCGTAGTAAAATTTTACATTTTGCAAACACACCCGATTCCGCGTTCTATATTCAAATTTATTTCGTCGCACATCACTTTATTTTATTCATTTTAAAATAAGAATAGAATAAAATTATGAATCTTTTCATTGGTTATATAAATTAATGGAATATTTGTACTTTGTCAACATGTAAACATACTAAAATGTATAACAAACTCTTTTGCACGTAATAAAATACTGATAACGACAACTATGACTCATTCGTTAAGTTTATATAAGTTAAATATTAAGTAAATATTATATCTATCACATTGTAATAATTTATTCATATTTTGTTAACTAAATTCTGAAATTTGAATAAACAATGATTAAATAAAAATAATATTTATAGTCGAAAGCTATCAGACTGACTTGACTGGGAGGGCAACTCCGCCTGTGTACATTTTCATTAGAACCTGATATCTATTTTAAAAGTGAATGCGCAAAAGTATTTAAATAAATAATTTAATTTATGTACACATACATGTACTAATGTATAAACATTAGTACAACAACATATAAATAAATATAAAGTAACATGTGTACAAGATAGACTTAATGCTAAGAGCATTCTCTGCCAGTCGACCTTAGGGAAGTGTTAGAATACTCGAATGCGGTACTAGTAATAATTAGTATATATACATACATAATAAAATTTACATATTTAAACAAATAAATATACACAAACATACTTACACATATATAAGATATACTGTGTTGTACACGAAGATGAGAATAATAAATAATAGTTAATAACTTGTATTTTTCTTTGCCTCAACATAGTATTGTATTAACTGTGCCTCAACTGTATTGTAACCAGTCGTTTCATCATAATATTCTTAGATAACAATAGGTATGTCAGTTTTTATCTATTGTTTTTTTTGTACAATACCAATGTCAAACTCTTTCAACTAACAAAATCTTAGAAATATCTAATATAGTAAGTATTGTAAGTAACAATTTTGTCATAATTATTTGACTTAATCTTACCATCAAATTAGTACAATTAAGTACATAAAGTATTAGGTGATGGTGTGTTATTTTTTTAATTTAATTCGGGTGTAGGTTTAAAAATAAAATTATGTAGTAACATTTTAAAATTTTATTAAAAACATCTCCTGATTTTCCAATACTGAAAAAAGAAACCAAGCTATCAAGAAATCTGACAATTATTTAATTCAATATGAATTTGTTTTACAATTTAAAATAATACAAACACAATATGTAAAATTACATAGTTTTTATAAAACTAAACCAAACTATTAAGCTAATGTCCAAATACAAAGACGGCAACGATTTTATGTTAGAGCAATTTAAATTACAAAAAAGGTCGTGCGTCAAATTTTAAAGGGGAATAACACCTGATATCCGCTTGAATACAAATTACAATATAGCAGAATTAAATCGCAACAAAATAATATTTAATTCAAACTAATCACGTCCTAATGAGTGCGAACAATTCAAATTACAAAAACAGTGGATACAATTATGTCGGGGAAAAACATCAGACTTCCGCTCGTATGAGGAAAGCCGAATGATTCCGCATTTGAACGGGCTTCAATGCATACTATCAATCATCTACATGTTAAAGATATATCTCAATTTTTTTTTTTATAACACCACGATATACTACCACACAGTTTTGAGCGCAAGGACAGTATGATCCATGCATGTGATCAATGTAAAAGAGGACAATTTTTGTCTCAAGGTTGGCCACTCATATGGCGGCTCATGAAGTGCTTTTTAATACATTTTCTTCCCATTATGATCCTTGTATCACTACAAAATTTTTATAAACACGCAAACTGTCAAAATCGCGCAATGTCTAACACTTGTCCAACGCATTGCTTTCGTTACACTTCACAGTAGTAAATCAAGCGATCGAGAAAGCATTTCTTCCGTATTCAAAGCCATTGTTTGCTGTTACAAATCGATCATCGCATCACAAATGTGAAGATCGACTCAATAACGTCGTCCAACTCCTTGCTGAATGGCGTCAACGGAGACAGCTGAGCGTCGCACGGCCCCGTCGGCTTCTTCTGTCCGTCCACCACGAGACAGCAGCGGTGTCCCACGAGCTGCACCTTGTCGCCGTTCCATCGCTTGTTAATAATAACACCACCATTAGCACCGACTAAGTTGATCGCGCCGTAGTTATTGACCACTTCGATGGTGCAGTCGTTTCCGATCACCTCAATGTCTCCTTGGTTGGTCGCGACACGGATGATACAATTATTTCCGACTACTTTCAACCGAGACGCGTTAGTCTCCATCGTGACTTTCTTCTTGTTTCCAACGACTGAGTATGCCTTCATTTTTTATTTTTCTACTCAACTTTCCTCACAAGATGTGTTTTATTTCAGAGTTAATAAATTGGAATGAATCAGCGTCGCGTACGCTTGGCCTTTATAGGCGCCCGCGCACGTGTCCGAGGAGGGACTCCCCTCTGATATCGTGCTCATTGATGAGAACGGCTCGTGTGTCGTGTCACATTTACGTACCGTTACGTATAACTATCTTGTACATGTATATATTGTTATTCCCCATGAAATTGGTGACAGGTAAAATACAAATTTCATGGTTTTCAGCGGTTTTAAAACAAGGCTATTTTGCCAAGGTTATCCATAATTTAGACCTAAACTCTTATAAATTTGTTGTTTTAGAGATTTTATCTACAGGAATATATTGAGATATTTTTTTTTAGTCAATAATAATATTTAGTTTTATTTTGTAAGAATGACCAGATTGATTTATGTGTATTTCAAGCATTGTATAGACTGATATTTCTTAAAAAAAAATAAGAAAGAAAATGTCTGAAAAATATACTTTAAAATTTAATAAAGAATAATAGGTAAGTATTATTATTATTATTAGATATACAAAATGAAACCCTGTTTTGATCCCTCCCCATAGTATGAGTTAGTACTGCGTTCAGTTGGGTCACCGGGTCAATACTGATAAAAAAACAGTACAGTCACTCATATCTACGTTAATATATATATATATATATATATATATATATATATATATATATATATATATATATATATATATATATATATATATATATATATTTTTTTTTATTATAATAACTCTCTTTAAACGAATCCAACAGGCAGATTTTTTTATACCATAATGCATATATAGATGTTTCTCACTTGTATTTTTATGTTTATATTACACGATGGCCAAATCAAAACCGGTTTTGGTACTTCTTGTTACAATCGACAGAATTGTTTGATTTGGTTGCGATTGTGTCTTTTTTACGTAATTTAAGATTGTGTTCTACATAAAAAAAATCCGACTTCGATTGAAAAGTGATGTCGGTTTTTTTATGGAACATAGCTTAAAATGGAAAACTAGTTATTTTGATAGAAAAACTAAACTACTGAACCGATTGTGATAATTTTTTTTTTATCTTAGAGTTATTATTTTAGAGTTATCTGTAAGTCCTTTTCATATAAAAAATATTTATTCACATCTTTTTATTCCTGACGGTATTAATATGCAAAAATTATATATATAAATATTATGTAAAAAAAATATAAAGAAAATACAATCGAATTAAAAGTCTCCTCTATTTTGAAGTCTGTTGAAAACAAAATGTAATTAATGTATTTAAAAATGCATCAAAAAATAAATTGGGTACTTTTATTTTGTTACTATGTTATTAGCACCTATTTTCTTTTTTATAATAAATAAGTAAATATATATAATTGTTTGTTACTATATTATATCTACTTTAATAAACTTTTTCTAAGAAACTAGTGAACTACATATTTTAAAACAGATCGTTCTAAGAATTTTTTTATCCATTTAATCTACGTAACTAGGTAGGTACATAGCAATTTATAACTTCAATTCTCTGCCAAAACGTTCCTAGAAGTGGAAAATTATTCTTTATTTCAATAAAAAATATTTACTTTATGATAAAACTAATAACTAAATACGCATAGCATGCATACGTAAATTTTATCTAAGTATGATTAGAATGGTCAATAGTTACAACTATATGAAAATATATCAATAAAAAACTGTTTTATTTTTTTTTGTAAAATTAGATAGATTTAGTCTAGTATCAATTAGCTAAGGTCATAATCATCGTCATCATCACATCAGCCTTTAACTGTTCACTGCTGAACATAAACCTCCCCCTTGGGTTTTGCCAGTAGTTGCCACGCTTGGCAGGCGGATTGGCCATAGTCGGGCTTTATAGATGTTTTAAAAGGAACGCTGCTGTCCATTCCTCACCCTCCCTTAGTCGACTTTTATGACACCCACAGGAAAGGAAGGGGTGGCCTACTCTATGATGGGGCCACACGGCCATTTCATTATGTCATAATGAAAGAAGTCAATTCTGTTCACCAAAAAATAAACGAGACTTCGACCGAGTGTGTAAGGTTCGAAAATAAATTAGACAAAGAACGCGGAATCGCGTTTGTTTAAAACCTTTCAGAACTTTGCTTGGAAACGAAGAACATTAATTTGAGATCGATAAGAGAGCATTATCAAATTCAAAAATAATTATAAATCGATTGAAAACAAAAATAAGAGTCAACATCACTATTTTTATTTGTTTATCTCAAAGAATATATATACTTACAGATTAGTATCACAGAAATTTTAACAAAATTCAGTAGTTTAGTTTTTAAAACAAAGTAACTTTCTTTACCATAATTGTAGGCGGTTTATAGTTGAACTTAGTTCGTAAATCTAATCATTTACGCTCTCAGTTTATACCAAATGAGATGCCTAATACGGAGTGAGTCAGACTTAAGGAGCAGACATCATTTCGAAAGGTTATTCCCTGGAGTCTGGACCACTTTTTTGGCCGGATTTAGAGTGCCGACGCATGTGGAGGTGGCAAACCGGTTTTATAGTTTACCAACATTGATTTAGAAAAAATGCTCACATACACAATCAGAGATTACAAAACGGCACTGAAAAAACATAGAACTACTTCATACAACCAAAATTTGTACCATGATTCGCTTAACTGATTTAAAAAAACATTTATTGAATTTTAAGTTCAAGTAATACATGCTTGAATAAAAATGTTTGATCTCGTTTTATCATCTTCTCATGGTGTAGTGATAGAAAGAGAAAGGTTATAATTCTAAAAATGCACTATATTAATTTTCGTTTCCTCATTTCTCCATTTCTTTTTTTTTTCTTTTTAAATTCCTTTTCTTTGGCCTCTACAGATAATTTTGCAAAGAAAACAATATCTACTAAAAGTATTTTTAAATTCAATTTTTATTATTGTATTTTATTGTATTAGCTATTAATTATCCACTGCGGAACTTAACATCGTTTGACTAGTAGGTTTTGCTAGTAGTTGCCACGCTTGGCAGGCGTATTGGCAATCACTGTTTGGTGGTGTTTTAAGAGGGACGCTGCTGCCCATTCCGCGACCATAAGCTGCCTTAATCGCGCTTACGACACCCACGGGAAAGGAAGGGGTGGCCTATTCTATGCCGGGATCTAGTCAGTAAATTTTACTTTTACAGCCTTATATAAATTATGTAAGGCACAATAAACAAAGTAAAATTAACAACGATTACTAAATAATTACTCATATTTTTTCCCGATTACAAAACTTGAATATCATCATTACTTTATCGCGCCATAACGCCGCTTGTAAAATATTACTTGTATTACCTATAATGAGTCATGGATGTAATCTTCGACTTTAGACCGGTGAATGGCATCACGAACTATGAAAGGGAGAGAACTATAATTCTAGTAATCCGAATATGATGTAAAAGTATCTTAAAACATTGATCATTGATTAAAAATTTATTTATGTTTTAATCGCCTTTTATTGAGGAGCTTTATCCTTTTCCATTCGGCTATATTTTTTGACTGCTTGCTTGCAATATCTTCGTGTATAATTGTGAACTAGTTTGAGTAATTCTTCTTTAATCGAAAAATATTTTTGCTCTCACATTAAATTCTCTTTCACTATAATAGTGCTACATAAATAAAATACACAATTAATAGCCTTTCTTCTCCTTATTTTTTAGGTTTCTTTTCCGCCAGCTTCGTGAATTTATCCCTTTGACTTGCCAGTTGGAATAGCTACTCGGCACTGGTATCCTGGTCCATTCCCATGTTTATGAACTCTGACTTTTTATGCATCTTTTATTTTTGTTCCATTATTAGGTATAGGTTTTTTTAAATGGTTGATAATGGAATGGCTACCCTACTCGCGCTATTGGTATACTATGCTAGGGTATTTACCGCACGCTCATGATTGATTGCAAACAATAAACTTTCTCTGCCAATACAATTGTAAATAAATTAGATTTGATAATAAATCAATATTAAGGTTATTGCAATCCGGAGATAATATAATACATTTGATAATAGAAATAGATTTTGGAAATTTAATTTTATATCTAACTACATTATAACTTTTTTTTTATACAACTTAGAATGGCAAACAAGCTAACGGCCCATCTGATGGAAAGTGGCAACCGTCGCCTATAGACATGAGCAGTACCATGGACATAACAGAGTATACTGTTTCGCCCATGATACCCCCCACGCGTTGCCATTCCTGAGGACTCAGGTGTTACTTCTCTGTACCCAGTAAATTCACGTTATATCCTACCCTTCAAACCGAAACACAGCCATGCAAACACAACTGCTTTACGGTTGAAACACGAATGGGACAGAGGTACCCAAACAATCGACTTTTGTACAAAGTCTTCTTCTGGTAAAACTTTATCATATCAGCCTTTAACTGTTGAACATAAGCCTTCCCTTGGAAGGTTCTGCCAGTAGTTTCTACGCTTGGCAGGCGGATTGGCAACCTTGACCTAATATAGAGAGTTCTTTAAACTATAGTTACAATATGGCATTAAAAGTAAACAAAGACAGTATAAGTAATAAAGTACACGGAATTAGTTTGTTTATCCGATAGCTGGATTTCCCCTAGCGTTTACCATTTCAATTCATTTGAACATAATCACAAGTCTAAATGCATTTTAAACATGCTGACCTGCCGACCGTTGGTGTAAAAAACAGGATGTGCAATCAGAGACTAAAAGAGGCTGTAACAATTGAGCCATCAACAAAATCATGCACTCATTTTCAAGCTAATGATAATTGTGATTGCCTATATAATATTACAGTATATATATATATATATATATATATATATATATATATATATATATATATATATATATATATTTGCCTTTTGTGTGCCGCCAAATTTTGAACAGTATATATACGTATACATATTTATATATATTAAGAGACTTTAATATTTTGTTGACTTTAATAGGTTGTCTGGGGGGAAAGGGATTGTTAACAATGGAGTTTGACAGCCCCATTGCTAGCAATATGCCCCATTAGGTTGACCTCCACGTGGTTCCCC